GGACTTCATCTTAATATTCCCATTAGCTAAAACCGGATATGGCGTGGTACAAAGACATTCACTAAATGCTTGTTAACTGAATTATGATTTTTTGAATTCTGTTCGTTCACAAATTCACTACATTTAAGAGCATAACACATAGCTCCAAACCTTTGCGAAGGGGCTTGACACACTCTCCTTCCTCTCCCCGACCCTGAAGTACATTATTGACCAAGAAGATAGCTTAGTTATTGAGGGAAGAGACTCTGAAGAGGATTAGTGGATTTTATTTCCTTGCCTCCTTTTTTGCTTGCAGAGTTTAGCCCTCTGCTGGGGCCTGTGGACAGGAATGCCATTCAAAGACAGTCCTGTTTCTGGGAAGTTAATCGGTTAGTTATTCTGGGCTTGCTTAATGTGCGCTACATTGAGAGACGCCAGTGTAATGGTAGCCCAACAGGACATCAAAACCACCACTAACGTGTGTGCAGTGAACATACGGGCAGTTGAACCTGCCTCTGAAGACTTCAGCAGGTAAAAAGAACAAAAATATTCTGCAGCCACTTCAGGGCTGTGAGCTAGCCACATAAGAATCATGTTAAATATAAAGACAGTAAGTGATCAATAATGTTAGCCTTAAAGAATGGCATCTGGCTGGGTGCGGTAGGTCATGCCTATAATCCTAGCACTTTGGGAGGCCCAGGTGGGAGCATCGCTTAAGCCCAGGAGTTCAAGACCAGCCTAAGCAACATAGTGAGACCTCATCTCTACAAAAATTTTTAAAAAACAGCCAGGTATAGTGGTATGCCTCTATAGTCTCAGCTACTTGGGAGGTGAGGCTGAGGCAGGAGGATCACTTGAGTGCAGGAGTTAGAGGCTGCAATGAGATGTGATCACACCACTGCTCTGTAGTCCAGGCAACAAAGTAAGACCTTGTCTCAAAAAAAAAAAAAAAGAAAAAGAATTGCATCTTCCAAACAACAAAATGTTAGTACCCCAAAGGCAAACGCCTCAAGTCCCAAACGGTATTCAGTACCTATCATCCAGTCTTTGTGAAAAGAATATGCCTTACCTCTCGAAATGAGTTCCCAGAACTAGTCTATACTTAGAGTAAATCTCTGGCAAGAAACGTTACAGTGGAAAGAGAAAAGCAGGCCCTCTCATCAGCTGGTGGGCAGGCCTTGTGCTGTGCACATTCCGTCCTGGTATTGAAGTCAAACGGCCGAGGAAAATGTGTTCAGACCTCATAGATAAACGAATTGCAGAA